AGAGAAAGAAAAAGAAGAGGTAAACCATTTTATGCTTAAAAATTACCTTGGGCTGGTTTCAGGAGGACTGAATATCTTGATAAAGGATAGCAGAAGATATATCTGTGAAGTGTATTTAAGGTTGTGCTAAAAGAAAGAGGAATGTTGTGTTTTATTGGTTTACTGTATAAATTGCCTACATAAATATTATTTAGTCAATAGTGTTTTAGATTTTTGTTACATAAAAATCCTCAAATGTGGCATCTTTCCAATTATTAACTGAAAGTTTTGTAATTTTTTTAGAAGTTATTGGTCACCAGGAAGATTAGAATAACCTTTACTTAAAGCACAGGACTGGTTCTATCTCACCTATTTACAAAATGTCAACTTTTCTCTATATATATACCTATAAATAAAATGCTTGAGCCGAAAATTCCTCCCTTGGGGCGCCATCAATAATCCAGATGCAAATTTTCTTCATTTTTCTAAAGCTTCACTCAAACTTACTTTTCATGTCCTCAAACACAAAATCTGCCTTGACCAATGCAATTAGGTAGTGATTTAGAAAGGTTTTTTTGTAATTGAATTAAAAAATATTGATATATTTAAATGATAGCCCAGTGCACATTTATTAATACAATGGGCCACAAAAACAAAGCTAAATAACGTGGGGACCCAGTCGCGTGAGTAACCTGATTTTAAATAACAGAAAATTAGTTTAAAATAATTCTATAGGACCATTTACTAAATATGTTGGTTCAAAATAGTCATTTTCTTAAAATTATACATTTACAAATTTAAAACTTGTCTATTAGTGCCTGTCTGTATAAAATTAATTTTAAGAAGCCCCTTGAGGATCCATGAGTGAATAGAATTAGGGGGGTTGTAATGGTGATTAATTCACTCGGAGAATGGGGCTAGTTTTGTGGTTTGAATCAGCTTTTGGCACTAAGTTTTTTTTTAACAAAATACTGCAAAAGATAACAAATTTGTTTTACGCTGATGATACTTTGCACTTAAAATTCAGTAACTCCAATTTCAGTGAGGGAAGCAGCACACCCCAGCAGAAAGATTTAGCCTTGTGCACAAGCTGACTTGCATGTTTAATTATGTAATAATAACTGCACTTTAAAAAGATTAACTCACCTGAAACACTTTGAGACCTTCCTAAGACATATGCATTTTGTAAAAATGCTTTTCTTTCTTGGTAAGATACAGATTGACTTGAGAACATACTACAATCCTAGATGAAAAATGCAGCTGGAAAATAGTACCCATTTTACATTAATCCTATATAGTAACATAGTCCCAACCATAACTTAGAATGACTTGATCTCCCATGATATTGCTCAAAGTTACCAAAGGAATCTTCTTTAGATCCGCATCTATCAAATTAGGTGCTAAGCCAATTATTGCAAAACACTTTCCACTCCCGTTGAATAACTTACAATCAGTGAACTATGGCAACAGCAAGGATGTTAACAGGGGTAAATAAATACAGGCCTAAAGTAAAGGGAAGAGCTTAAAATTATACTTTTTTATTAAAGTGTTAGAGACTGTTTCCTTTGGTTTCTTCCCAGATAAAGGGGATAAAACTGAAGTGCAAACAAATGAAAATAAAATTGTGACAATTCTGCAATTCTGCACTGGCCTCATCAGATCAAACCAACATTCTTCCCAATTACTTAATTGAAAGACAGAGCTTTCAAATAACTGGTTTCCTTATGATTTATAGAACTGTAATTACATATTGAAGGTCGTGGCAATAAGAAGGAATTGTAACCAATTTGTTTCAGCTAAAGGCTAGGTTATTGATCATATCATTTTTGTTTACCTGGACAGCTTTCTTTTAAAAAGAATTTCCCAAAATAATAACTATTTGGAGCTGCAAGACAAAAATATGGCACTTCTAAATAAAATGCTGGGTCAATTGACAAATGTCCCTGGAAGAATGCATAACTTACGGACATGACCGAAAAAAAATTGTATTGAATTTATGCTGTAATGGAGAAGAAAATAACTATGAACTGTTGTGTTTTGACGTCTTTTACAAAATATTGTCAGTAAATCACCTATAAAATAAAGTAGCTTAATGTGCATAGAATTGAGACAATTTAACCAATCATGGTTCTTTTTACTTTTTTGAAAAAAAACTCATAATAAAACAAGAACAGCAATTTGTTGTCTCAGCTATATTATAAACAAATGCAGCCATAAAGCCTATTCATGAATCCAAGGAATTATGTAGAATTGTTATATAGCAACACCACTCCAATTTTATTTAGAGCGTGATTTTTTTTTGTCCGAACAAACAGTTGAAACTGTAGGGTACAGCACAGAGATTAGTATTTTATATTCACGATAGAACATGGCTCTAACTCCTCTAAATTTGATTTTTTTTTAGACTTTTTTCATGTTAATGCAATCCAACTGGAAAAGACTGGAAATCAAACTGAAATGTTGAGGATCTACATGCTAGCCCGGAGCCACTTGTTGCTGATGCACAGACTGGGGGCATCATTTCTGTTTTGGATATAGCCAATGATCTGGGCACACTCAGAATCATGCTAGTTTTTCAAAGTGAATTTGTAGCTTAGATTTACACTCCACATCATTAGCATGACACAAACATTGACATCTTCCATGAATTAATATAATTAGAATTTTAGATGGTAATTTTAATTTTTGTTACATCTTAAAAATATTCCTTGTATTTAAGAATGAAAACCTGGTGCTGTTTTATTAAGGCAGACCAAGTAGTGTTTACTACAAAAATTATGTTTAATAAGTGTCTATTTGGCAAGCACTCAGTAACCTCACTTTAAGGAACTAAAAATAAATTTTTGTGTTGTTAAATGTGATTGTAGATTAAATTGCAAATTGCAAGAGCCACAATTAGAATTTGCTCCCACTGTCAATAAGAAAAAACAAAAATAATTAAATGTAAACCTTATTATAGCTTTCTGGATTATTGGGTAATATAGCTATTGTTTTCAATATCCACTCCATACTCCATTTCCAATTGTTGGTTTCATCCCTCTCCCCGGCAGCTGTTTGACAACCTTCGAGTCATGTTTAACTACAAATATCAGCATTAAGACTGCATGCTTCCACTTCCATAACATTGCTCAACTTTAGACCCTGCCTCAGCTCATCTGCTGCTAAAACAAAACACTCATTGATGACTATTTCAGTACACTCCTGGCTAGTCTCCAACATGCTACAATTCATAAATGTGAGCTTATCCAAAATAATGCTGCTTGTTTCTTAATTCATACCAAGTACAATTCATCTGTTATACATACCACATGTGTTAACCTACATTATTTAGCTTGTGGTTAAGCAATGCCTTGACTTTAAAATTCTCATTCTTGTTTCAAATCTCTCCAAAGCCTCACTCTTTCTTATCTCTAAAGCCCTCTGTCCAAGAATTCTTCAAGGCAGGTATTTTCATCAACTTGTACACAGATGTGGTGACACACCTCTGGAATAAGTGGGACTTGAACCTGGGCCTCCTGGTTCAAAGGTAGGGATATTACCAATGTGCCACAAGCACCCAGTCATTAAAGACACCTTGGATCCTATAATCCTGGCCTCTTGAGCATTTCTGTTTTTAATTTCTGCACCATTAGTGGCTGCCTCTGTCTCTGTCCTAAACTCTGGAGTTCCCTTCCTACACTTATTCACCTCTTTACCTCACTTCCTCCTTCATAAACTGATATCAGATGAAATCAAAATCATTGTATGTCTAATTAGGCAGAGGCAGCAAAGGACTTCCAGAGATTTACAAAGGTTTTATTGAAAATATAGAGTGTAGTGCAAATATTAGCTTCCACCTTTCCCTGTGCAGGAACTAATACCCACTGAGGGAAAAACTCTGTTCTTAAATACAAAAGTGTAATGACTGTTACCTGCTGTCAATGGTACAGTGGTAGTGTTCCTACCTCTGAACCAGGAGACCTGGGTTCAAATTTCACCTGCTCCAGAGGCAACATCTTTGAACTGGTTGATTCAGAAAATATCTATTTAAGCCTTAAAGGATCCTGGATTTCTGATTGTGACACAAGACTACTTAAAATCTTCCTGCTTGACCAAACTTTTGATTATCTGACCTAATAGTTCACATGGCTTAATGTCATACCTTTATAATGCTCCTGTGAAGTGACATGGGCTATATAATTTATATATGTAAAAAATATATAAAGGTCATTGTTGTTTTATTTTTCTACCCTCTGCATTTTTAAATTTGTAATAGTTACTGTGTTTTGAACTAGATTAAATTTCAGAACTTGAAAAATTTTTAAGGCAAATGGTCATTTTTTAAAATCACAGATTGGGTGGGAAAGTGTAATGTTTAGAATGACGGCCTATGAGATCCTTGATTGAGGGTGTAACCTGGCAATCAGGGAGCTCTGGCTAATAGATATAAACAGGAAATTCAGAGAGTCTCTTCATTCCAGGGACTGGCTTTGAGCTGGCTGGTTAGAGCCCATGTATTGTGCACAAGTAAATAAGGGTGACTTTGTGATCGGATACCAGCCTATGTGCAGTCATTTCAGAAAGGCAATCAAGAAAGATTTGTCACAAAAATATGTTTCCTTTGTTAATTTTTGCCTCTGCTATGTCCCTTGTACTAAAATGTTGATACTGCTCACTTGCCACAAACAGTTACAAGAGGACTGGATGATGATATGTTGGCAGAACAATGTACCATTGTTTCAATGTGCCAGACCAGTTAAAAATTGCTGAAAATAATGTGATATGTGGATGCAGTTTGATAGTATCAGAATCAACCGTTTTATTGATTGGGCTATTACCCCTAGGTCTTTTCTCTTTACTCAGATGCATGTGAATGATTCCTTGACATAATTTGAAGAGCAAGGATATTTACCAGAAAAATATTTACCTATCAACCAACAAGACCAAACAGATTGACCTATTGCTTGTGCAAATTAGCTCCCTACGTTTGTTGGCAATAAACAATACTAAGGCGTACTTAAACATAAATTTATTGCCTGCAAACAACATTGGAACTTCCATAGTAGGAAAATGGCACTGCCTAAATTCAAGGTCTTCATTGTTTCTTGCATTTGTTTCATAATCAAGGTCAGTAAATGGGTACCATGACCCAGCACCACTGACACAACACATGATAATAGTCTTTTGACATTCTCTTAACGTATTTAATGCAGTCTTTTTTATCTGTTTTGCAGGAGCATTTTACCTGTTATCTGGTAACTCTACACCATAATAATGAAAAAGTTTCTGATTGTATTTGATTTTGATGAAACCATCATTCAACACAACTCTGATCATGTCATCCTGAAATGTAATCCTGACCAAAATCTTCCAGAAGAATTGCTGCAACCTCCTGAGGATGGACATTGGACTGAGTATACGAGCAAGATCCTCCAGTACCTGTGTGAAAAGGGTGTCAAGGAAGAAAGCATGAGAAAGATTCTAGCTGAAACCCCACTAACTAAAGAGATGTTAACCCTATTTCAGTTTCTGAGAGAGTCTTCAGATTTATTTGAATGCATTATTATCTCTGATGCCAACACCTTTTTTATCAATAGCATTCTTCAAGCAAATGACCTAAGCAATGTATTCCAGAAAATATACACAAATCCTGCATGCCGTGACAACGAAAATACGATTGTGATAAATCCTTACCATTCCCACATGTGTCAGCAGTGCCCCATCAACATGTGCAAAAGACAGATCTTGCACGATCACTTGGTAGAACGCACTGACGAGGAAGTTGAATATGAGAAGATCTTCTATGTTGGTGATGGCAACAATGACTTCTGCCCTTCTGTAGTCTTGACGGCAACAGATGTTGTCTTTCCAAGGAAGAACTATCCTTTGCATCGGTTGGTCTCTGAGATCAAAATGACAGAACCCGCTGCATTTCAAGCTGAAGTGGTTCCATGGGAGTCTGCAGAAGATATATTGCTTTTCCTTCAAGATTGCACAGGGAAATAGTGCCACTCACAGTTTCCCAAAAGATCTTCAAGAAGAATTTCAATTTTCTAGTAACAAATGCTTTTTGAGAAGAAACAGAGTAAATCCGATAGTAAAAGTGCATGATTTTAATGCTTACTGAAATAATTTAACTGTAATTCTAGCTTAGGCCCTAACATTTATTTTCCACACCCAATATTGCTAATTACATTGTGTACAATAACTTTTGTGACCAACACTAAATGTGGATTGCCTTTGAAACTAATGTACCTGTTCTTGTTATATGTAGATTACTGGGAGCTGTTTTTCTAATTAATTGTGGAGGGAGATTGTATCAGGACATGGTGGTATTGTGTTAAGGATATGTCATGGGACTTTCAAACCTGAAGGAACTTTTTTTTAGTAATTTGAGCTACTTAAAAAAAACAACACAATCTAGAGCACGTATATGTATTCAGCTTTAATCTGTACGCACCTATTCACCATAGATTAATATAGCCATCCTATATCAGTGTTTGGTAATTAGTATAACCTTTCCAGAGTGTGGAGTATTGGATTCCTTGTTTGAATGGGATCTTTTGCAAAATGTTTTGAGACAGAGGATGCCATTCAGTCCATCATATCTGTGTCAGCATAAAAGACCTGTTCAGCCTCACCCTATTTTCCAGCTTTCAGTCCATAGCCTGGCAGTTTACAGGATTTCAGGTGCATGTCCAAGTACTTTTTAGATGCTACAAGAGGTTCGAATTAGGTTTATTGTCACATGTACTCATAGAAAGTTTACAACTCGCCATTTATGGTGTCTTCTTAGGTACTACGGTACCTAGATGCAGAATCCTGGGTACAAAGCAGAAAAACATTACACACTTTTCACTGTACTCCTACTTTTGTTCTTGAGTACACGTGACAATAAAATCAAAATGTTAAATATTACAGTTCTTCTTACTAAAAAGTAGAAAAACAAAGAAACACAGTTAAAAGTTCAACACCACAGTCCATAAGCGTCTGGCCGTTGTGGCTTGCATTCCTCACAAGGGCTCGACCTTTTCCTACATGCCCCCTACATTTAAGTCTAAGTCATTGTTATGTAGAGAATTAAAAGGACCTAGTTCTGTGCCCTGCTGAAAACAGTTTACCAGTCACAAAAAAACATTTGGCTGCTTCAAATCTAGTTTTGTTAAATGTTAATCTAAATAAGTACTAGACTTGATAATGACATGTATGACATTCAATTGTATTACAACAGAAATAAATAGACAGTATAAGAAAATTTTCAATTTTTTATCATTTGTACTGCTGAAAGCTTACCGATGTGTCATATGGAAAAGAAACAATTAGATAATTCTGCGGCTTCAAAAGAAATTAACTGAGAAATTCTGCAAAACCTTTATGAAAAATGCTAAAATCAGAGAACATAACACCTGCAAATTGCATTGGAAAGGAGATATTACTAATAAATTATTTAAAGAACATGAACTGAACTGTGCTGCTACTACTCTGGTGTCAGCACATTGTCTATATCGTTTACGCTAGATTTGAACTCGACGTATGAAAATGTCTCGAATTTTACTGATGTCTCCTACTAATTTACAAAATAAAACCATTGGTCAAAGTTCAGATATTAAAATAGTTTTTCTCTTTAACTGCAGCTGTAAATTATAGTACTTAAATACATATCCTACAGGAATTGATATAGTTTAAGTTAATTAAAATGGCTATTTCTCCAGATATGCAGAGCACTACATTGTCAGACACAAGAGGTACACTGCAGGGTGAAAATGTGTGAATGCAACAAGAATAACATTGTTAGTTTGAAGTAGTCGCAATTATGTTTCAGCCTTCTTTGGCAGTGGGTCTTAATATCTTGAAATACATTATACTGCTATTATTCATCTGATACCCTATGTTACTCATTAGTTACTGAGGTGCAAAATTTATCACTGTAAGTTGGACAGTAGTGCACTGGTCGAGCTTTTTAACCCTCTGTCCAATTTTCTTTTCCGCATTCCGAAGAGGGGAGAGAGATAAATTGATAACATTTGAGAAATTAATAAAGGAAACCCCTCCACAGATATGCCTATTTTAAATAAAACCATACATAGTTACAATGGTAATCTGACCGTTGTGGGCAAACAATGTTGGTATGGAAACCTATATTTGAGACCTTTCATTTCTGAGAGGCAGATGCATCCAAGTCTAGCCAAGCACAATGAACTTCAATTCGAGCAAAGTTAACATAATTCAGATCCCTCGTGTCTTAATTTTTTTAGGGTCTATGCTTTGTTCTGACATAGTTTAACACCTTTTAGAAACATGGATATATCTTGTATCATCTTTTCAAATATCCATCAGCTCACAGGACTGAGCTTCAGAGAAACACATTGTAAGTGAAATGATTTATTTAGTTTTGTCATACTAACCAAAACAGCGCCTGAAGCTGTGATCTTTGTGTTTTGAAGGTTTACTTTTCTGGGGAAGGCCTGCACAGTCATTTGAGAGTAATGTGGAAGTGGCCCCAGTGCAATTAGAACCTGCTCTGGGATAATGGTCCTGAATGTAAAACTAGAGCGTGTCATTCCCCTACATCTCAGGAAGCAGCAGAGATAATTTGGTTCGAGTTACATGACATATTTATTTCTTGATTAAATTGTTTTATTGTTGATTTGTCAGGTTTATTTATTGACCATAGTGATAAACAAGTTTAAGTATTAGGATTTTTAATTCAAGGAATTACTTCTGTGACTCAAGGGAGCAAACTGTGCCAATACAAGTTTTACCTCTGACAATGATGGAGAAAAGAATATGAGAATTTTGTTCCTGTTGCAGAATTTTATTTTGTTACCCTCCTACCCTACCGAACTTCTTGATTTGTTCCAGAGATACCTCAAGGAAATGAGTGCTAAAGTATGACACAGCTGCTGACATTATTATGTTATCCACTATTCTTGTCTTTGGGCACATCAAGAAGAAAAACAAGCCCACTAAATGCTAAAATGCAAAAGAGTACTGCACTAAATTGTCCCTGTAGAGTCGGATGTAGTGGGCTGAAGGCTTAACTACCAATGATGGGGTAGGGGAGGAGAGCAGAATGCACAAGAGGCGATTATTATATTCCCTCACTTGGGAATTCACAATTTGTAGTCCAACAGTTTTGTATTTTTTGCTATATATGTAAACCTCCCAATCAGATGACTATATTTTAACACACTTGGTGTCATGCTATGATTACAAGTTGTAGTTAAATAGGATCTCTTATGATCTATGTCTGAGTTTCCTTAGGAGACTTAGAAGATGGAGTTTAATTTGGATAAATGCGAGGTACTGCATTTTCATAAAGCAAATGAGGGCAGGACTTATACAATTAAAAGTAGGGCCTTGGGTAGTGTTGAAGAACAGAAGGACCTAGGGGTTCAGGTATATAATTCTTTAAAGTTTGTGTCACATATAGATGTGGTGGTTAAGAAGGCATTTAGCAAACCTGTCTTCATTGCTCAGACCTTTGGGTATAGAAGTTGGGACATTATGTTGAGGTTGTGCAGGACATTGGTGAGACTTCTTCTGGAGTACTGTGTACAGTTCTGGTCGCCCTGTTGTAGGATGGATATTATTAAGCTAGAGAGGGTTCAGAGGAGATTTATCAGGATGTTGCAGAGTATGGAAGGTTTGAGTTGTAAGAAGATGCTGGATAGGCTGGGACTTTTTTCACGAGAGCATAGGAGGTTGGGGGGTGACTTTTATAGAGATGAATAAAATCATGAGTATAGATAAGATGAATGGCAGGTGTCTTTTCCCTTGGGTGGAGGATTTCAAGACGAAAGGGCATATTTTTAAGGTGATAGGAGAAAGCCTTAAAAAACAAGAGGGGCAACTTTTCACGTAGAGAGTGGTTCATGTGGAATGAACTTCCAGAGGAAGTGGCAGGTGCAGCTACGCTTACAATATTTAAAAAACATTTAGATAAGTACATGAATAAGAAATGTTTGGGGGGGATATAGGCCAAGCGCAGGCAGGTGGGACTAGTTATGGTCAACATGGACTGGTTGGATCAAAGGGTCTGTTTCCATGCTATATGACTCTGAGACCAATGAATAGCTGAAACCCTTGTTTTAAAAATCCCTGAGATGAAGTGCAGGTACAAATTTATTAAAGATTCCCTATTTGATTATGACAGAGAGCTAACACCTGATTACATTTGAAGGCCAGTATAGATAATGGAGTACTTCCCTCACACTGCCTAAATGACACTTGCTTCCACTTCCTGGCTTCTCTGAATCTTAGAATGCACTGAAAGGGCAAGATAGCCAACAAACAACATGCAATGTATTTGCAGAAATGTGTTTTTTTTATTTCTTGGAGGAAAATTTGTTTTGCTTGTCAATGCACTGTCTACTAGTTTGAGGGGGCTTGGGTCCATCTTGTTCTGGTAAGAAAACAAATTGAAGTGGTGGTTATGCCAAAACATGCATTTTGTTTCCAGGAAATTGAGCCAATTTCAACTCCTATTCAGTGAATCTCAGCAGAGGCAGTGCAATCAAACCAAAATGCAACTTTGTTTTATTCTAGAATCATTTTCACTTCAGTGATATAGATTATGCAGCTGTGAATGATGATTTAGCACATAGCTCCTATGATGGTATGAAAGGTTATAACATTTTCTCTTTGCACAACAATCTAACATTGTCGGAACAAAACATCAAGGCACCTGGTTTAATAGTATGCATTTGAAAACAGGGTTTGACGGTCACAGTATTGGAACTTTTCAATGGCTATTAATACCATTTGGAAAATTAAAATAAAAATAGATGTTTGCCTTGTAGGTATTTTATTATTGCAAAATTAAAGACAGGAATACACTTTTAACTGTGCAACCCTTAGCTGGGCACAGTAAAAATGAATAGTTGCTTGTATTTTTTATAATCTTAACCTTTTAGCTTGCTTTAAAAACTAAATATAAAGTAGATTTTATATATAATCGATCTGAAATGTGTGGTTCTAGGCACTCTGAATTTCAAAAGTTAGATACGGATTTCCCTGATACTACTTTTTGGCATTTTTTTTGTGGTTTGGCTTGTTTCCATAATATCAGCAAAGTTCACTTATGTTGCAAGTGAAATAACTAGATTATATAAAATTACAATTTTAATTTGTGTTGTTGGCTTTGAAACTTGATCATTTAAGCTCTGATAGAACTTATTGTGAATATAATTTGAATTAAGAATGGAAAATTTTAAACTAAACTACAGTTGATTTAACTTCAAATTGATTTCCTTACGGAATTTTAGTCAATGCACAGCTTTTTCAGCAAGTCTGTAAATTAAGGAAAACATTTTCATCTGTATACGTGTGATTCTTATCTTTATCTTGCATACTGCAAGATTTACAAATGGTGAAGAGGTAAATGATAATATCCAGTGATCTGTGGGTGAAGTGCATTTATCATAAGTGCCAGAAGAGGACACGACTGGACTTTGCTGATTTTCACTGTCAAAAAGAATCAAATGTGGTGATGACAATTTGGGCAAAGAAGCGGAGGGTGACTGGTGACCAGGAACCACCTCCCACTGACACATCCCTTTAGAAGAGCTTTTTTTTTAAATTGTGGTATTTGGAAAAATGAAATATTGCAGTGCAAAACGTTTTTGATATTGTGCTTTTGAATTGCTAAAGAAATTACGTATTTTATTCTTAAATGTCTGATACAAAACGTTCTAAATTTTAAATAGGAAGCACTGGGATGCTGCAGAGGCACTTTAACCATAAGCTGTAATAAAGTTTAGAATATGGCTGGAATTAAATTATTCTACAGTTTGAGCAGTAATTAATTCTGCCACTGTATG